ACTTTACTTCCACTTTAAGAAAAAAAAAAAAAACAAGGGTGAGGTCAGAAGAGGCACCTCTTGTAGAGCAAGAAACTTTAGGTGTTCCCTTTTAGGTAGCCATAGCCATATCCTGGTCCTAACTTCACAAAAAGCAATTCTTAGGCTCCATTCACATATGCTCCCTCATCACCTCCTCCTATGCTCGCCTCCAGGACTTCTCCAGAGCCTCTCCCATCCTCTGGAACTCCCTACCACAGCATGTCCGGTCAGCCCCCACCCTGTCTGCCTTTAGTTGATCTTTGAAAACTCACTTCTTCAGGGAAGCCTACCCCACCTCCACCTAATAACTACTTGAATCACCTCCACCAGATCATCCCCCGCAGCTATCACCTTTTGTATCGCCTCCCCCTTCCTTTAGATTGTAAGCTCCACGAGCAGGGCCCTCCTATTCCTTCTGTACTGAAATGTATTGTAATTGTACTGTCTCCCTTATATTGTAAAGCGCTGAGCAAACTGTTGGTGCTATATAAATCCTGCATATTAATAATAATATGGGCGTTTTGAATTGCAGGCAGAATCACCGCTATTCTGGCTGCGATTTCAAACCGCTCTGCTAAAATGAAAAATCACACAATGCGAATTTCAGGTGCCATTCATTTTAATGGCACCTAAAAAATGTAAAGCTCCTGCTACTTTTTGGGCGTCCGGCTTCACCTGATGCAGTTTACCAAAATTGCAGTGTGATTTATTGTGGCAGAACCACACCACGTTTTTAGGTGTCATTAAAATTAATGACTCCTGAAATTCGCATTGTGTAATTTCTCATTTTAGCAGAGCTTTTGAAATTGTGGGCAGAATCGTGGCAATTCTGCCCATAATTCAAAATGCCCATATGTGAACGGAGCCTTACTATCAGGCTGCCCATCACGTTTGCTTGTCAGCCTCCACACCAACCTTTTAGCTCTAAGTCCTCATGCACACTGGGTGTTTTGATGACGTTGGTAACGTTAGCTGAGTTTTTCAGCTTTTTTTTTAGCATTTTTGCATTAGCGTTTGGCGTTTTTTTTTTCCGCATAAGAGGCGTTTTCCGTGTCTTGTGTTTTTTTTTAACCAAAAAAATAATTTTTCTTGGTCAAAAAAAAGTCCAAAAATGCTAGTTTGCGGCATTTTACCGTGTTTTTGCCGCATTTTTCAGCATTGGAGCGTTTTTACAGCTAAAAAAACTCCTCTAGAAACCCACTAGTCCTGGATTTTTGTCCCAGCCAAAAAAAAGTCCCTGCCAAAAAACGTTGATTACAGTCTGCGTGCATGGACACATAGGATAACATGCTGGGGGGTTTTACTGGCTGTAGAAAAAAATGTCAAAAGCCAAAAACAGCAGCTGTAAAAACGTCACGTGTGCATGAGGACTAAAAGACATGACCTGTTTGTTCCCCAGGCTGTAGAGCAATGCCTCCAGATGAGCCAAAATGGCTTGCAAGGGAGATGTGCACCACACATGCAGTAGATCAGAGGTCCCGAAAAGTATATGAAAGGTACATGTCCTAGATTGTAAGCTCTGCGGAGCAGGGCCCTCCTAACCCTCTTGTATTGAACTGTATTGTTGCTGTATTGTCTCCCATTATATTGTAAAGCATTGAGCAAACTGTTGGCCTTATATAAATCCCGTATAATAATAATAATAGATGTGTAAATGTCAAACAGGCCTTTTCCGGGCTCTCTGCGAGACACTGATGTACTGTATATAAAACGGTTTAATACTTCATGTGATGAATATGTATGAAAAGAATTTTAGATTTCTATTTTATATATATTTTTTTATTGTATATTTTTTTTTTCTTGGTGTATGTTGCTATGCATATTAATACTCCTAATTCCATGTTTCACAAATAAAAAGCTTTTGTACCAATTTGTAGTAGAAGCAATTATACCCAAGACCCCAAACCGTACATTCAGACATTCTAGAACCCAACAAACTTAAAACTAAATCTAGGGAAAAAAAGTTGTGTTTTCAGCTATTATTTTGCTTTATTTCATGGCTTAGTGGTAAGCATTTCTACGTTTGCAGCAATGGGGTCCTTGGTTTGATTTCCAGCCAGAAATTATCAGCATGGAGTGGTGCTTGTTTTCTCTTGGTTGCGTTGGCGTTCTCCCACACTCTTAGGTTAATTGGCTGCTGGCTTAATTGGCTCTATTATGTGTTTTGCTTTTATTTATTCATGTGAGATTGGGACTTTAAATTGTGAACTCATTGTAGACAGGGACTGATGTGAACCTGGGGACCCGGGTGTGACCCCTGATATTGCCAATATTTAGTGAACGTTATGCTACAGAAAGCTGTCAAGACTTCAGACATACTAAAGGAAATTATCAGATTCTACAGGTTTGATACAGGAGACCGTAGTGACCTATTTTACATGCTTTAGGAGTTGTTGAGGATTGGGCACATGCTTCTGGAGACACATTACATGAGGCTGCTGTCACAGCCCATTAGGAAAACCAGTGCTTCCACATTTGTGCTCGCTATAGCCCCCTTAACCAGTTCCTTAACTAGTTCCCACCAGGCCAATAGCAAAATGACGGCCTAGTGGGACTTTTGTTGATCCTGGTGGGCATCATATAATGTCCTCCCAGACTGCTGCCTCATTCATGCCCACAGATGACCTATCTGTGTACTGGTCCATTGCCGGTACCATGTGACCGCTGTGACCAATCACAGCAGGTCACACGACAAATTTTCATGCCATCCATTGTATACAATTGTGTTGCTAACTGTGATTGGTCACAGTGATCACATGGTTGACTGGGCCAATCACAGCTCATCTGTGTCATGTAATTAGCTGTGGCCAGTCACAGCTAAACAAAACAAAAAACACTGCATGAATCGAATGTAATTCATTTAAATGCTTGCTATAGGTAATCATAATGTGTAAAAATAAATAAAATACTGATCACTTCCTCAGAGTATTACAATGTTACTATGGTAACATTATATTACTCTGGTGTTTTATTTAAAATAATTAAAAAAAAACGCAAAAAAGAAAATAAAAAGTAGTAATTTTTGAAAAATTAAAAAAAATATATATTTTTTTTTTTTGTACTGTCACCCATCAGTGTCCCTGATCACTGCAACAACAGTTATATGATGATGCTGTACTGCTGGTGACAGTATGTAAAAATGTCTTTTATTTTCTAAAAAATGATGACAAAAAATTACAACTTAAAAAAACTCGCCATGCATCTGACTAAATGCTGCAGACTAATTTCCAAAATACCGGTAATTTGGGGGATATTTGTACTGTCCTGACTTTTTTGGGCCTCAAGAAATGAATAGTCAGTCAGTAAATCCGGATTGATCGTGTTTTTTTTTTTTTTTTTTTAATAGACACCATGGTTTGATATATACACCATGGTTCGTAGACTCCATAACTTTCCTACAGACTAAATAATATACACTGATTTAGGTTATTTTCACCAAAGAAATGTAGCCGTATACATTTTTTAACCTGAATTTGTGGAGAACAATTATTTATTTGCAGAATTTTATAACAGAAATAACTGTTTGCTTTTTTTTTGTTTAACAAAAAATAAACAAAACATGATTATCACCAAAAGAAAGTTCTAGTTGTATGAACAAAATGATAAAAATCTAGATTGGGTACAGTGTTGCATGACCACGCAGTTGTCATTCAGAATGTTAGAGCGCTAAGCTGAAAATGTTAACTTTTAACCACTTACTGGGCACTTTTACCCCCTTCCAGGCCAAACAAAAGGAGCACTCAGGCTCTGAATACATCAAAATGTGATGAGAAAAAAACTTACAAATCACTCCTGCCTCATTAGATAATATTTCTCTTAACAAGGTTCATTCTAAAAACACATAAAAAGAGGCTGCAGGACCCCTGACCCTCTGTCTGGACAGTGCTGATCACTTGCACCCTCCCAAAAAAAAAATTCCAAGCAATACACACCAAAACTGTACATGTTCAGTTTGCCCCCCGAGGCTCTGTTCCATCTGGAGATGGATTGGGGACAGTATAGGAAAGGGAGGATCAGAGAAGTCAGGATCAAGCATCCTTTTTTCACATTGCGAAGGATTAGCCCCTTCGGTTTCACAGCGAATATAACAAGCATGCTTTACTGCATATACAGACTGATTTTACTGTTGTGGGTTTAGTAACACTGTAATGATCCTGCTGCTGGTGATTTGTCACTAGTGGCAGAATTGCCCATCTGGCATCATCCATAGGGTTTTGAGGACTTAATAAAATTGATGTTCATTGTCCAGGAGGTACTAAAGAATTATTATTAGCACCTTGTTTACATTAACGTGATTGTAAACTCTTACATATACACAGTGAAGTGACTGGCTTCAGGTGTTACACAGAGATTAAACAAATCCTCCTGCAAAAGTTGTACCTATTTATCTGTAGTATTCTCTTCTCTACCCCTGTTCAAAGTGCTGAATTTATAAAGTTTGTCTGAAAGGTCAGAAAAAAGGGAGTGGAGAGCTGAAATTGCACACTGCAGAGCTTAGTGAGGAGAGCTGTGAGAACTGATTGGAGGGAAGGGACACACACCCCTCCACACAGCTCACAAGAACAGAGCTGAGGCTATTAATCAAAGGCTGTGCCCTCCACTGTCACCATTTTTTCTCTTGGTGTCGGGAAAACTTGTCAGAAGTGACTCATGCTGATAGCGGAATGAGGCAGCAGACAGGAATGACACTTAGTGGTCTGGGGTGAGACAAGTACACACTAGAGCAGGGGTGGGCAAACTTTTTGACTTGAGGGCCGCAATGGGTTCATATATTGGACCCGGGGGCCGGACCAAGAGTAGATGAATGATGTGTATGTGTCATCCATAGTAAGCATAGTAATAAATCCCCCATATAGTAATTCATCCCATATAGTAATTCATCCCCCATATAGTAATTCATCCAGCATATAGTAATTCATCCCCCATATAGTAATTCATCCCCCATAGTAATTCATCCCCCATATAGTAATTCATCCCCCATATAGTAATTCATCCCATATAGTAATTCATCCCCCATATAGTAATTCATCCCATATAGTAATTCATCCCCCATATAGTAATTCATTCCCCATATAGTACCGTATTTTTCGCTCCATAAGATGCACTTTTTTTTCCCCCCCAAAAAAAAGGGGGGAAAATGTCAGTGCGTCTTATGGAGCGAATATAAAGCGGCCGGTCCGGTATTTTTGCAGCCACCATGTCAGAATACCGGGCCGGCCGCTCAGCTGTTCTCTCCTGCAGGGCCTTACCTGTTCCTCGCTCCAGTGCTGCACAGTCTTCCCGCGCTGGTTTCTGTGACAGCCGGGTGCCCACTGCGCATGTGCTGCGCTTTGTGAATGATCCGGTGTCTTCTGGGACACATGACAGGTCCCAGAAGGCGCCGGGCCATTCACAAAGCGCAGCGCTTATCCCGCATGCACAGTGGGCACCCGGCTGTCACAGAAGCCGGCCCGGGAAGAAGAAGGAAGGACACAACTCCGCGGAAGTGGGAGCGGGTACCTGTCAAATTCAGGTACCCGCTCCCCCTCCCTCCCCAAAGGTCAGCAGTCTCTGGTCATCCCCTGCACTGTCTGCAGTCTCTGGTCATTCCCTGCACTGTCTGCAGTCTCTGGTCATTCCCTGCACTGTCTGCAGTCTCTTGTCATTCCCTGCACTGTCTGCAGTCTCTGGTCATTCCCTGCACTGTCTGCAGTCTCTTGTCATTCCCTGCACTGTCTGCAGTCTCTGGTCATCCCCTGCACTGTCTGCAGTCTCTGGTCATCCCCTGTACTGTCTGCAGTCTCTGGTCATCCCCTGCACTGTGTCCGCAGTCTCTGGTCATCCCCTGCACTGTGTCCGCAGTCTCTGGTCATCCCCTGCACTGTGTCTGCAGTCTCTGGTCATCCCCTGTACTGTCTGCAGTCTCTGGTCATTCCCTGCACTGTCTGCAGTCTCTGGTCATCCCCTGCACTGTCTGCAGTCTCTGGTCATCCCCTGTACTGTCTGCAGTCTCTGGTCATCCCCTGTACTGTCTGCAGTCTCTGGTCATCCCCTGTACTGTGTCCACAGTCTCTGGTCATCCCCTGCACTGTGTCCGCAGTCTCTGGTCATCCCCTGCACTGTGTCTGCAGTCTCTGGTCATCCCCTGTACTGTGCCCGCAGTCTCTGGTCATCTCCTGTACTGTGTCCGCAGTCTCTGGTCATTCCCTGCACTGTCTGCAGTCTCTGGTCATCTCCTGTACTGTGTCCGCAGTCTCTGGTCATCTCCTGTACTGTGTCCGCAGTCTCTGGTCATCTCCTGTACTGTGTCCGCAGTCTCTGGTCATCTCCTGTACTGTGTCCGCAGTCTCTGGTCATCTCTTGTACTGTGTCCGCATTCTCTGGTCATCTCCTGTACTGTGTCCGCAGTCTCTGGTCATCTCCTGTACTGTGTCCGCAGTCTCTGGTCATCTCCTGTACTGTGTCCGCAGTCTCTGGTCATCTCCTGTATTATGTCCGCAGTCTCTGGTCATCCCCTGTACTGTGTCTGCAGTCTCTGGTCATCCCCTGTACTGTGTCTGCAGTCTCTGGTCATCCCCTGTACTGTGTCTGCAGTCTCTGGTCATCTCCTGTACTGTGTCCGCAGTCTCTGGTCATCTGTACTGTGTCCGCAGTCTCTGGTCATTCCCTGCACTGTCTGCAGTCTCTGGTCATCTCCTGTACTATGTCCGCAGTCTCTGGTCATCTCCTGTACTATGTCCGCAGTCTCTGGTCATCTCCTGTGCTGTGTCCGCAGTCTCTGGTCATCTCCTGTACTGTGTAGCGCAGTCTCTGGTCATCCCCTGTACTGTGTCTGCAGTCCATTGGTTCAGAATATTTTTTTTCTCTTGTTTTTCCCTCTAAAACCTAGGTGCGTCTTATGGTCAGGTGCGTCTTATGGAGCGAAAAATACGGTAATTCATCCCCCATATAGTAATTCATCCCCCATAGCAATTCATCCCCCATAGTAATTCATCCCCCCATATAGTAATTCATCCCCCATATAGTAATTCATCCCCCATTTAGTAATTCATCCCCCATTTAGTAATTCATCCCCCATATAGTAATTCATCCCCCATATAGTAATTCATCCCCCATAGTAATTCATCCCCCATAGTAATTAATCCCCCATATAGTAATTCATCCCCCTATAGTAATTCATCCCCCATAGTAATTCATCCCCCATATAGTAATTCATCCCCCCTATAGTAATTCATCCCCCATATAGTAATTCATTCTCCATATTAATTCATCCCCCATATTAAGTCCCCAAGTCCCCCCTGTGTCAATTCACTTACCTTTGCTCCGCACGTTCCTCTCGCCGTGTTCCCGCGCCATTCCGGTGTAGCATGAAAATCTGTCTCCTATGAGGATCTGTCCCCCTCGACGTATCTGCGCATGTTCCAGTTTCAGGCATTAGCAGCCGATCGGCGATCTCCGGCACATGCGCAGATACGTCAAGGGGGACAGATCCTCATAGGAGACACACCGATCCTCATGCTACACCGGTCTTCAGGGCGGACTGTGAGAGGAGCCTAGCGGGAGCCTAGCTCCGCGGGCCGGATTAAAAGGTCCACCGGGCCGTATACGTAGTTTGCCCATTGCTGCACTAGAGGGATATTCTTTGTTCATATTTCATGTCTGAGTTTTACAACCATGTTAGGGCCTGTTTCTCTACGGGAGAATGAGGGCTCAAATAAAAATGAGCCTTGTCCGTTGGGTGTTTTTGAAATGTGAGTTTCTGCTTGTATAGATTTGAATTTTACCTTGAATTGACTGAGGTCATATTGGACTATTATGTGTGAGTTTGGGCTTCTGTTTAGAGTTGTGCTGGGCTAATTTGCACTGACCTTCATGTCTCCCTTGGTTATCATAGCTTTTTTCTCTCTTGCCAGGATTTTATTGTTTACCAATTACACCTTCAAGTGGGCTTTAGGGCACTCATGGAAAGGACAAGTGTTTGGGCTGCTCTTAAGATTATTAGTTCAGCTTTTCTCCTTGTGCAGGGCGGCGGAGGCAAGAATAAATTACCTGGTCAAGTGGTACGATATTAAGAGACTGCCAGAAAAAAGAAAATCTTGAATTATCACAAGACGAAAGGGGGACCATTGTTCCAAGAGCAACTAGATCTGGGAATTGTGGTTGAGAATGTGCCAGTCTTTTCAGAAAACACAACCTATGTCAAAGTTGTAATAAAGCTTACGTTACTGTTAACCGGTTAAATACTGCTGTCCTAGATAGGGCATTGCTGCACTGAGCCTCGTGGTTGTATTTTACCAATGAAAGTAAATGAGAAGGTTCTTGAGATCCTGGACTACTTCTGTTCTGCAGAGAAAATAAGCATTGTATATCACAGTGCTGTATAATCCAGCTTTTAGAGTATCAAGTCTAAATCTGATTCTTTTTTTTTTTTTTTTTATCACTGTGATAATAGGACTTAGGGAAATGTTAAAGAAATGGAGTAGCACACGTGTCCTTTCAGTTGCTAATCTTCAGAGTTCACAGAATGCATTTGTGGGAACTGAATATTTTGATTCCCTTTCCTAAGATATTTGCTTTTAGGAAATTGCAAATTTTCTTAAATGGTGACTTACTGAGAACTAAGCCTGCTATGCAGCTTTAGATTCTTGGCTGACATCTACAACCGTATCTCACTCAATTATACAGTTCTACAAATCCAGTACAGAGAATATCCTATTATATCTGATAGGTCAATAACCAAATATTCATATATGGTCATCAGTCATGTCTTAATATAGTGTTCTTGAAATCCAGTCCTTCGCCAGTCTTGATGGCATCTCTTAAGGAGATATTAGCGTATACAAGGTCTCTCTCACAATTAAGAAAGTAAAGAACCAAGAACACCTTTTCTTGTTTTAATAATTGCTTTTAGCGTAAAGCAACTGTGGCCCTAGTGTTTTATTTCAGGATTCCAAGAAAAATTAGTACTAGACAACTACCGGTTGCCAGGTCACCTTTGCGACCAGATCAGCAGAGGCCCTGGACGGGTATAATCACTATATATAGAAATTGTGAACCAAACATGCACTGAAGAATTTAAGAAGAATGAACCAAGGAACGTGTAGTTTATGCAGCAGTTGAGAGATTTTTTTTCCCCCCTGTGTATTGCACTGCAACAAAACATGCTCTGCTGGAGATGCCAAGTGCCTTTTTTGAGTGTAGCAGATGGAGACGGGGAATCAGAGAATGTTTGGGGTGATTGAGGAGGACAACAGTGCCGGGGGAGTTGGTGGGAACCTGGCTGGATTTAGGGAAGAGTTAGGTTTGTACAGCTAGGCACAAGGAGAACTTTACACTTTCATATGCAAACAACCTGTGAAAGGCACATCTTTATCCTATGTGCATCCCTTCCAAGTCAGTGATGGAGGAGTGATGACCTCCATGGACCAGGTGTATAAAATCAAGTACCTAGGCATGCAGACTGCTTCTACAAACATTTGTGAAAGAATGGGTCACTTTCAGGAGCTCAGTGAATTTGAATTCACTGAGCTACTGAACATGACCTATTCTTTCACGGTATCACACTTGAGCATGATACCTTGATAGGTTTCCACCTGTACAATAAGTCCATCCGTGAAATTTCCTTACTACTAAATATTCCACGGTCAACTGTTAGTGGCATTATAACACTAACTGGGAACAGCCACGAAGTGGAAGGTCATGTAAAATGACAGAGTGGGGTCAGCGCATGCTGAATCTAAAGACCTGCAAACTTTGTGTGGCCTTCAGATTGGCACAACAGTGCGTAGAGAGCTTCATGGAATGGGTTTCCATGGCTGAGCAGCTGCATCCAAGCCTTACATCACCAAGTTCAATGCAAAGCGGCAGATGCAGTAGTGTAAAGCACGCCGCCATTGGACTCTACAGCAGTGGAGACGTGTTTTCTGGAGTGACGAATCACGCTTCTTTGTCTGGCAATTAATGGACATGTCTGGGTTTGGCGGTTGCCAGTAGGACTGTACTTGCCTGACTGCATTGTACCAAGTGTAAAGTTTGGTGGAGAGGGGATTATGATGTGGGGTTGTTTTTCAGGAGTTGGGCTTAGCCCCTTAGTTCCAGTGAAGGGAACTCTTAAGGCGTCAGCATACCAAGACATTTTGGACAATTTCATGCTCCCAACTTTGTGGAACAGTTTGGGGATGGCCCCTTCCTTTTCCAACATGACTGCACACCAGTGCACAAGGCGAGGTCCATAGTGTCTCCATAGTGTCATGGATGAGCGAGTTTGGGGTGGGGGAACTTGACTGGCCTTCACAGAGTCCTGACCTCAACCCGATAGAACACCTTTGTAATGCGTTAGGGCGTAGACTGTGAGCCAGGCCTTCTCATCTGACATCAGCGCCTGACCTCACAAATGAGCTTCTGGAAGAATGGTCAAACATTCCCATAGACATACTCCTAAACCTCGTGGACAGCCTTCCCAGAAGAGTTGAAGCTGTTATAGCTGCAAAGGGTGGGCCAACTCAATATTGAACCCTACGGACTAAGCGTGGGATGCCATTAAAGTTCACGTGTGTTTAAAGGCAGACGTCTCAATACATTTGGCAATATAGTGTGTGTATATATATGCATGTGTGTGTATATATGTATGTGTGTGTGTGTGTGTGTGTATATGTGTGTGTGTGTGTGTGTGTGTGTGTGTGTGTGTGTGTGTGTGTGTGTGTATGTATGTATGTATGTATGTATGTATATATATATATATATATATATATATATATATATTCTATATATATTTGGACATGGATCTAGTTCAACTTGTCCATTACTGCTTTAAAAGTGCCTAATCGGCCACAAATTATGCACTTTGCTGGCTTTGATATTACCAGTTATTATACCTGTGTATAACATTTAGGCATCTTGTCCTATGGTTGGAATATTCAGTTTGTCCTAATGCCCTGTACTTGATTATCAGTACAAGAGTTACGGACATGCTGGACCACAATGTCCCCTTGCAGACATACAAGGCATTTGATGGCTAGTGTATATAAGATATATTGCTGAAGCAAAGGTACTAGGAAAGTTGTAATTATTTTCATCTCATGGATTTGTGGTTAGCCAGTGCAGGCTTTATGATGTAGTCAATATCTGATTACAGTTTGTCATACTCACTTTTATTTACATTGATCATTAATCCATTTGTCACCTGTAACATTTCTCTGGTAGGTTCTTTTTTTTTTTTTTTTTTTACATAAAACTTTTAAATATTGAAGGAAGTATATTAGGAGTTTTCTCCTTAAGGCAGTATTAAACCCCAAAACAAAAATGTAAAACATTTGCAGCTTACCAATTCTTAGATGTGGTGGCTGTATTATTATTTTTTTTTTTTTTCATTTATTTTCACCTGATGATTTGGCCAGTAAGTCTGTTATTTTTCAACTTTTTATAACAGACCAAGCCTTCCGTTTGGGATAAAGGTTTTACATAAATGAATAAAAGCTGATCATTGTAAGAACTCCTGTCAATGGTTTCTCTCTCAACCTCTAACTGCCAATTTTGCAGGACAGCTTGGTCTGTTGGAAGTTGAAAGATAACAGACTTGTTGGCTAAGCCACCAGGTATAAA